ATACTTCTTATAAAATATCTTAATAATTAAAAATAATTAATTAAAATTTTAATTTATTAATACTATATTATAAAAACAATTAAATTCTTTAATATATCTCAAATAAATATTTAGCGAACCTTTGAAAATTTTCAATAAATTTTTAATAAAAAAATTAAATTTCATTTTCATCTCTCAACTTTACTACAAAACTTTCAATTTAATTTTTCAATTAAAAGAAACTCTAATTTAATTTTGTTATTTATCATTTTAACCCTAATTTCACCCTTTCATTAATTTTTTTTCACCAATAATTGATAGAAGATTCAATACATATTTAAAATTTTCACACAAAAATTAACAAGTTTGCAAATATTTAAAATTTTCATACAAAAATTAACAAGTTTGCAAAAAAATAAATCACATGGCATTTCAACTCATCCCATTGAAAAAAATTTTGTTTTTATTTTTTTCGTTCCTCCCTTTCCCTTTCCTCTTCCTTTTCTTCAACTTCTACAAACCCTAAAATCTCAACTAATCTCTAACATCTCAACCAATCTCTACACTTATTGGGTTCTTCATCATCATCAAGCAACAAAACTCACAAAAAAAAAAATGAAAAAAACTTTTTTTAATTTTTTGCCATTGGTTCAAGTGTGCTGGGTTCCAACAAACCCAGGCGTGGGTTCCTTCGAACCCAACGCTTGGGTTCCTTGAAACCCCTGTGCCTGGGCTCCATCAAACCCAGGCGTACTGGGTTTGAAGGAACCCAGCGTTTGGGTTCCAACGAACCTAGGCGTGCTGGGTTCCTTAGGAACCCCCACGCCTACCTCCTTCTGTTTCAACTCTATCTCCTTCTCTTTGACCCAAGAAAAATGCATGATGGCACTGTTTCTCTCTTTTCCAGAGATTTAAGTTTCTTAAACCTTGCATGAAAATCTGTTTCAGATTCCTCCTATAGTTTCTCTTTTACCTTCTTTTTCACAGCTTTTCAATCTATAGGCTGGACCTCACATTCTTCAGAGATCCTAGTAGCTATTGGGTGAGAGAAAGGGAAGGAAGAAAAAATAAGAAACAATTTTTTTTTATCGTATTATTATTTTTTATAATTTGATAAGAAGTATTGAAATTTTAATTTTTAAAACATTTTATAAAAAATATTAAAATTTTAATTGT